AGGCTGCCCAGGGAGGTGGTGGAGTCACCATCCCTGGAAATGTTTAAAAGGAATATAGATGTAGTGCTTAGGGACATGATTTAAGCACTGAACCGGTAGACTAGGTTATGGTTGCTGGATTTAGATTATGGTTGGACCTGAGGATCTTCAAGGTCCTTTCCAATGAGGTCTGGATAGATGTATGTCATCTAAGGCATCATTCACTTCTTTAAAGCCTTGCAGGATGAATTTCCAGACAGACATGCCTAAATGTAAAGTTGGAGGAGGCACCAATCTGTTTTTACCTCTTTGTAATTGTGTATTACTGGCACAGATGAAGGAAGTGTTGGCTGAGAGGTGCACAGGTCTAATCAAAGACTTCAGGTGTTGTTAAGTGAAGCAAATTGTATTTGCTTTCATTTTGTGGAACAGAATACAGCAGCTTTTCACTAAGTCTGAGGTCAATCAGATTTCTAGGCATAGAATAATTTACACGAGCAGGTCTTTAACCTGCTAATCATTAGGACAACACATTTTTCAGCCTGTGCATCATGCTTTGCCTTGGTGCCTAGAAAAGCGATCTCATTTTTCACTCATGAACCTGCCAAAGTTCACAGCCTCCAGCATAACCACAAGCTGCAAATTGTCTAGGTGTCCACCAAAGGATCCTCTCCCTGTGACTGCACACCTTCACCTTCTCAAATCCATGGGAGCCTACCTTGCCCATTTAATCCCAACATTTTTACTCTGAGACAGAAAGAGAAGCCCATCAGCTCCTTGTTGGCAATCATCAAGAAGCCAAATGAATGGGACGAGACACAGAGTGAACTGTCTGAGGTAAAGATAGGTTTCTCCTCTTCTCATACAGAAAGAATATGTAGTAATAAGTATTTGTTCTGAAGGACAGATTAGGATCCCTTACTGATTTTCCTCTTATTTTTTTGCTGGACCACCCAGTGTCCTAGACAGGCTCCTGCTAATGCCCCAAAGGGTTACACATACTTGCTCAGCAGGGAACTGAAAAAAGAACAGAACTACTTTTTGCTGGAAGTGGCCATGGAAACAGCCATGTGAGCAGAGACCAAGAAAATTAAGGAACTTGAGGGAACTGGGAAGTCTTATAAAGGAAGATAAGAAAAAAAATGGCTCCAAAAGCAGACTGTTCAAGCTGTTACAGAGAAACAGGCCAAAGCTGAAGGGAATTTTGACAGAGGCAGCATGAGTACAGGAGACCTGAGCCCATATCCCTCCTCTTGCCATACTTTCCCACTGCTATTCTACAGCTGATGGGAGAGCCTGTATTTGGGGGAGGTGAGTCCATGAACCAGAGCCACATACAGATGAGCCCTTATTCAATACAGTCTCCTAAAAAAATCATAGCCCACCAGTGAAAGAGAATGAGTATCTGATAATCAGAAGTGACAGAGTTCTTTTAGAGGATTCTTTCTGTTATACTATTTGCAGTCATGCTCTTTAATCCTTAATGCTGTGTAAAATTTCATCTTTTCCAAATGTTAAAAAATTGAGAAAATTTTCTCCACTCTCAGGTGGAAAAAACAAGTAGGCAGCTTCTAAATCAAGTAGCTATAAATAAGGAAATTTTTAGTACTTGATATTTTATCTTGGGAGGCACAGAAAAATCCCGTGGTTCCCATGATGAGACATATTTAAAGCTTTCTTAAACAGTAGATGGTAAATTCTTAATAGGGGAATTACAACCAATTAAACCAACTTACAGAAGTTCTGTGATAGTCTTCCTGCTGTCCAGTTCAAATGAACTGATCACCAAGGTAAAAATGTTATTTTTATGTACAGACCCACATAAGCACCCTCCACAATTTAGATAAACCAGTTCCTCCAAAAAGGTTTGTATTCTGAGTACTTAAAATTAACAAATGACAGACACCTGGCAAATAATGTGCTAATGGCATAACATCATTGAAAGGCAACAAAATTAAACAGTACATAATTAAATTGTAGAACACACCATTTATCTTCCCCAGCCACTGACCTTGCTGTCAAGGGCTGGTCTGGACAACAGCTCAAGCTAATGGACCTACAAGTTCACCAGGTTCGCCTTATCTGTCCCACACACCAGCTGGTCAGTAATTTCAGCCACGACTACTGACTGCTGCTTCCTGTCTCAGGTGTAGAGCCTTCTTAACATAGTACTCACTCTCTCAGGTCACTTCCTATCAAGAAACCCTTGAGCTGATTGTGAGAAGATGGAGGAGGTGCTGAGCACAGGCAGAAGTACCACAGCAAATGAGACTGGTTTCAGTAAAAAGGTTTTATTCTGTCTGGTTGTCAGAAAACTGCTCTCTGGAGATGCTGGAGGATGCACGTTTGTGAGGTGAACTCATTGCCCCTGGGACTGAGGAAAGCTTCTTGAGGGTAACGACCCACAATGCTTGATATGAAGTACGTGTGCACACAAATTTGGTGCTTATCTACTATTCATGTGTTTGATTTGGAAATGAAGTGAAAAAATGCACAAATATCAAATAAACCTGACAGAGAACACCTCATAATGGTGGTAATTTAAAATATAACCTGTGCCTTTGTAGCACCAGATACTCCTACCCAATCCTGTTATCCCCGACATACTCTTTCCTCATGCTGATTCCCTCTTCTAAGGCAAGTGTGCATACTCAAAAGCCTGGATCAGCAGGATGCTTTACATTTTGGTACAGCCATCCTTCTTCACCAGACAAGCAACACAGAAATGAGACGATATTCTTCCTGACTGTGGAATCCTCAACAAACAGCACATTATTTTACTTAGCTATGGTGTGAGTATCCCACTTTACTTTAAAACTTTACAAGGTGTAAGGGAAATAATTAAAAATATATTTATTCTGGATTATTTTTATTGACACAGTGAAAGCTAAATCTGTCTGTGACTTGCCCACTTTTGCCAGTGTGCTCCTGAAAAGCAGAATAGCTCTGAAAGGTAAAAACCTCAGAGAGAGCCAGCAATTGCAGGATTCTCCTAAAACAGATTCAAACCCTGCACTCTTCAACTCCAAGTAGAGCGGTTTTGGTACACCCAAATCAGGTACCTAGAGCAATGCAGGTTTCCCACAAATGCCAAGACAAAGACTTTTACTTTGATCTGACTGGTGGTTTTGAGTTGACGGAGACTACATAGGAATCAAACTGAAGTTCCTACCTGCGAATCCTGATGTCTGCAAAGTTTGTGGCATGGATAGCTTTAATTTTGGTTAAACTATCCTAAATAGAGGAAATTACACAGGCAAATGGGGATGTGATCCTTCTTATATTCATCCACATTGTTTTGATTTCAAGCATGTTTGGGCCCAGGTTTTCTGTGATGACCAGAACAGAGCAAACAGAATTTTCTACATATTGGGCATATCTTCATTTGATAGCCTTACAAGCTAATTCTGCTATTTAAGAATGCAGTAGATATATAAAAAGATATACTAAATATCACAATGGATAGCACAACCAAACATACAGGAAGGTATAGAATATTCATAAAAGATCAGAAGACCATCCATATGCCAGTGGGCAGAATTCCTTGAATGAATGAAAGTGAATGTGACTAAGTTGTTAGTATCATTGGACAGTGTGCTGGGCCATGTTGTCTAGACTGTGCTTTTGCCAAGAAACGTTGGATCGATGATCCTTGAGGTCCCTTCCAACCTGGTATTCTATGATTCTGTGATTTTATCATGCACAAATATCATTGCCAAATCAAAGCAGCTATCTATTATTTTCCCAACACGCACAAATTATTATCCTCATTACTCAATCTGCTTCAGTTTGATCCTATATACGCTTAAAACTGTGGAAAAAAAATATAGCCTGTATGGAAAATTGCTGTGGTATTGCAAAAGACATAAAGCTTGCCAAAGAAAATGAACTCTAAAAACTGTTTTCCTTGTTCATGTGCTCTCTCCAGGCCCTCTTGTTTATGTAAGGGCTCAATATATGATCAAGTTACCTTGCGTCAGCCAGGCTATGGTAATTGTCTGTGTGTGCACTTTTGGCCCGTAGCAAATGCAAGAAAATTTAACTTAGTTTCAGCCCCTTTCACTGCAGGCGTACCTAACACAACTTACCTTCCATTCCCTGTGGGGTAGGAGTGTGGATATAACTTGCACACAGCAATATGCTGTGTCCCAGAAGCCTTATGCTGTGTCTGAGACCCAGGATTGTGAAAGGCACCCTAAGAGCTTCAGGGCAGCATGTCTTTTTTTCTGCAAGTATATTGCACAGGCACACAAATGAAGGACTTACCTGCCATGCCTCAACCTTCTTAATGTCTGCACAGGATCCATTAGTAAAGAGTCCTTTCCCAGGGGTACAGGTATATATATCCTGCAAGGCATGGGCAATAGAATATACTGCCAAATACACATTATAGGATATCCGCAAGTGCGTGTAGTCCATGTACGGTGTTTCCACACTGGTGATGTTCTCATCCCCTGTGCATGGAGGTCGGAAGGCAGCTGTTCCATTTCCAGCTCCCAGTCCCTCTTCATGGCCCTTGTAGAAGGAGGTTGAAGTTGGAGAATTTTTTGACCCATCAGGGAGATAGCAGTTAAACGTCTCTTCCCAAAACTCCTTGGCAAAGCCATTGTTGTTGGACTTCTTGGGATGCACCTTCTGCAGGAACTCACGAAAGCCTGGGATCTGTCCTGCCTTCAGTGCAAACCCAATGGTGCTGCCAATGACACGGAAGAACTCTGGCATGGCTATCAGGGAAGAGCTGGCCCAGGCCTCACTTGCCAGCCAGATCTTGCCGGTGATGTTTCGCCTCACGATCTCTTTGATGAGGGGCTCCAGATCCGGGCCACTAGAGAAAACAACAATCACCCTTGCTGTGGAATTCTGGATGACCTCTACCACCTGCTGGATCTCCTCTTCATCTGAGTACTGGGAGATGAGCTCACTAAAATCAATGCATATGTCTCTCTCCTCTGCCTCCTCCCGAAACTTCTCAATTCCTGGCCGGCCATAGTCATCATCAGCTGCAATTGTTCCCACCCAGTTCCAGCGGAAGTACTCGATGATGTCTGCCATCGCTGTGGCCTGGTGCTCATCATTGGGGATTGTGCGGAGGAAGGACTTGAACTGGTTCTTGTTGCTCAAGAGACGACTGGATGAGGCATAGCTGACCTGTGAGAGCACAGCGAACAAGCAAAACACACCATACAGTGAAATGCCTGGGAAGAAATTGCCTACATTTATCTAGCATCACTGCCAACCTGTGTAACCTTGGATGGGATGAAGAGAGAGCTGAGCACCACACTGGCAACCATGTACTCTTAGCCTGTGGCTGTATATGACTCACTTTGACAGTCTGTATGTTCTTGTAGCTGTGACTGTCTTACAGAGGCACACACACAGGAGCAGCTGCTTGGACCCAACTGGAGCAAGCTTGTGTGCACCTGAAATATCAAGGATCTCAGGGAGAGAGACACTGTCACTAGCTTGGAGGAATGGCAAAGAGGTGAGCCTCAGGTGGCCCGCATTCACCATGCTGCAATTTCTGTCAAATCCAGAAACAAGAAGAATGTACCTTTTAGATAAAAGGGCAATGCACATAATTCAGACAAAATTCAGGCTTCCTCTGTCCTGAACCAGACGTGAGACCCACGTCAGATGTGAGTGGGTTGGTACTGCCACTCAGGACCTACTCTGAAGAACACTGTCTTTCTCCTTGCCTCTCACCTCTGTCCCCATCTTTAAACAGGCTCTATCAGGCACCATTTGTGTATTATATACAATCCTTGCCATCTGAAGTAAGAAGAATGTGATGTATTCTCAGTCGCCTTGACCCTGTGGAGTGTTAAGGTCATGCTGGTCAATCCTACTTTAGCAGTATTTCCTGATTGCAGGCCAGAAGGAGCAAAGAAGCCACAAGGAATTCCATGGTCCACGAGCCACTGTGTTTTACAGTCTAAATGAGATTTTATTCCCTTTTCTAAAACTATTAATTTTATTTTTTTTTTCCTAATCAGGATATACACTCATAAGATATAATCTGGATTTTCTACTAGTAGGAATTAAACCATAAAACCCAGAAGAGAATAGTTTAAAGATCTGGAGGACTTTTAAAACTCATGCATTTTGAGACTGGTATTTGAACTCTTTATGAATGAAATCTCACATTGAAAAAGTCTTTTATAAAGAGCTCACTTTGTACAAAGTGGAAATTTATAGAAAACCTTAACTCCTCCTTAAACTCTGGCATTCAATGTTTCTGCAAGAAGAAAGAGGTCTCCTGGTGCAGTTTCAAGGGCCACAGGAGCAAATCTACCTTTCACAGAGCTATACTCTCCCCTGGACAGGCTCCTGCCCATGCTACTCTCATTTCCTAAAACCTAGAGCCAGTGGGTACAGGCAAGGTACCCCACTCACACACGTGCTGTAGGGGTACACTGAGGTGAGATACTGAGCAACAGAACTGGAGTAATAACATTTTTTGTTTCTATGTCAACAGAATGAGTAATGAGCCTTACATTAATTGTAAAATATCCCTCCAACCTGTTCTAAAATGCCAGGTCTATTAAGCATGGATCTGCTAATGGCCTTGCTATAAATGGCAGTGATAATGTGTATTCTAATGCTACCCAACAATTCCTAGTTTTAAAAGCCTGCTTTCTGTTTTCAAAGCTCAACCACCTGGCTGAGATTTCGTCCCAGAACAGACCCTCATGACATCTACCTGTTGCAGCAACCTCTAGATAAGACTACTGCCTCCTACTGCAAATGCCATTCCTGGTTCACAGGGTAAGTCTGAGAACTGCAATCATATCTCATGTTCAGTTCAACCAACTTAATCTTCTCAGCTGCCTTTATTTACCTGGCAATGCAATGTGTAAACTAACAGTATGCCTTAAAATCCCACCATGGTGTTTATTACACGCTACCTTCTGATGCTACTCTGGACAACACCTAGATAACATATAGTGGTCTAACCATTCTTGCCCTGCTTAGAGACCAAATGTCCATTTTTTCAGACTCCCGTGAGACAGACTGATGACTTTAAACAGACAAGATATACTGCTGTACACCAAGCAGACAAGAATCCTTCCTTCCTTCTTCATTTGTAGTGTGGATGGGAATAGGAGCCACAGTTGAAACAAAGATACCACCCCTCAGAACAGACTCAGAGTGCAGTGTGACACAATCTTGTTGTAAGGACTCCTGTGAGCTCTGGTATCTGTATTCATTTTAGAAGAGGAATTGGAAATGTTAGGCTATACAAGCCAACACATAAATGGATAAGGCCAAGCACTATTTCCAAAGTCATCTTTAGTGTGAAAATCTAAAACCAAGAGCAACAACATTAAGGTGTAAAATGCCAGGGTCATACTTTGCTTAGGGTCTTGGCAGAGCAGCAAGTTTGTTAAACAAAAGGATGGGACCATGGTTACTGGCACTGGCCCTAGAAGAGTCAGCAGACAACTAGAAGGATGCTGGGACACAGGAGCTAGCACAACTACACCACTACACACATCCCCAAGGAAAAGATGGGGCATATCCACAAGCTCTCACAAATGCTGTTTTAGAGGCTCTAGGGGAAAAGAAAGGCAGGTCAGCCCAGGAAAAACCTTCACAGCACCTGATCAGCAAAAGCAACAACTTTGCAGAATCTTCTTGAATGATCAGAGATGCTGAGAGACCAAAGAGTAGCTTGCAATGACTGAACTCTGCCTTAAGTGGGATCTGTGAGATCTGGGCATATACAGACAGTGACCATGGTGAAGTAACATCCCAACTAACCTGTCAAGGCTGACAACTGCCAATGACTGATCTAAGTTACCCTTGTTCACAGGCTAAGCTACTCTAGAGGACTGTAGTCCTTTTAGAATAAGTGGCTGTTGGCTGAATGTTATTACTGGCTGCTTGGTAACTTTTGTGTTTGGAGTAACGAGTCCTATTTATTCTTTAAGAAAGACCCCATATATTTTGTTGTTTCTCTCCTTGAGGTTGTACTAGAAATGGCAAAGATTAAACACGCCTTGGAGGCTGAACTCCGCTTGAGACCTTCTGGTGTGCAGTTTGGACATATTGGCAAAGAGTGGGATGGAGAAGCTGGCACAGTCACTGCACATATCTGTACTGGACCAAACAAATTTCTGGCAAATATCAGCCTGAAGACTTGTATCTGAATAAAAAACCTATTTGGCTTGATTTGACATAATAACTTTGGAAGAAAATACACTGCTTTATTTAATGTAAAATGTTGTCCCACTTTAAAAATTCAATGCTTCTCATCACTGTGTTGCCCCTCCACCCTCCAAGGTCATTTCTATACCTTCATTTGAAACAGAGGTGGAGCACATAAGGCAGCAGCAGTGCAGTTCCCTGTCCTGGTTCTATAATGTATTTAAGGATCCCCTCCAACCAGCAATACCCCCAGCTGTACCTAAACAAGAGAAGTGAAAGCATACCTGAGGTATGTAAAAGAGTCCCAGCAGATTGGCCACGGCAGTAGAGATGCCAGAGCCGGTTGCCCCCACGACTGCAATGGTGGAAGGGATATGTTCTGAGCAGTTGCAGAATTCATCCAGGTTCAAGGAGTCTATCTTGTTCTGAGCCACAAAACTCAGTGTGGCCTCAAGGGCTTTAGAGACTGTATTGCAAGTGTCAAATATCCTGTATCCTAGAGTCATGTTGGGAAGGAGAGTTGGACTACTGTTTATTTCTTCTATGGCAAAGATCATAGCCTGGAGCCAGCGGAAGCCTCGGAAATTATACCTGGGGGAACAAAAATAACATAAAACAGAGTAAGAAGGGGGAGAAAAGAGGAGACCATGACTGAGATACAGATAGAGAGAAGAATTCCAGATCCAAAATGCAAAAAAAACTTATGTGATTTCTTGCATCCTACTAAACTGGAATTATTTTTCTTTTGTATTCAGTGATTACAGAAGAGGTATGTGTATGCTACAAGGTTTTATTCTGATTTTCAGCTCTTCAGTTTGGAAGCTCACTTCAGAGGTCATGAGGATGAGGTGAACTTTTCTAAGTCCTCTGAAGTCTGGGAGAGTTGAAAGAGAGAATGCCTGAGGTGCTAGCTCTGGCCTATCCCTTCTGCTCAGTACCCTAAACCTGGGCAAACGCCCCAACACAAAGATACATCTACCAGGTTTCTTTCCAGGCGCCTCTGACATGTTTCTGAATGCAGATGGCAGTGTCTGCAAAGCCTGTGCTGATCGCAATGCTGTCAGGGACTTGGGCTTAGGCACACTCAGACTGACAGCTCCTGCTGACTTTAGGCAGGCAGAATAAGCACTGGCATGGCACAGTTTTACTTGAACCTCCTGTGCTCCAGTTTGTGCCCATTGCCCCTTTTCCTGTCATTGGACACTGTGAAAAAGAGAGTGGCCCCATCCTCCTGACACGCGCCCGGTAGATATTGAAAAGCATTTATAAGATCCCCCCCCTCAGTCTCCTCTTCTCCAGGCTGAACAGACCCAGCTCTCTCAGCCTTTCCTAGTAGGGCAGATGCTCCATTCCTCTAATCATCTTTGCAGCCTGCACTGGACTCTTCCCAGTAGTTCCTTATCCTGAGGAGCCCAGAATTGGATGCAGTATTCCAGATGTGGCCTCACCAGGATGGAAGAGAGGGGGAGGATAACCTCCTTTGACCTAGTCCCTGGATGCAAAGGTGCCTGGTAGCTCTGCTCAGGGAAATTTAGCCTCACATCACACACTTCACACTGTGGGTGAGGGCACAGTCGACCATACTAGAGAACAGAGACATAGTATAAACATAAATCCTATATTTCTAAATTAGATACTTCAGTGTTCTCATTAAAGGAATAACTTCTCTCTTTATTATAGTGCTCTCATAGATTTGCTTTAGACATGAATTCAGAAGATGCAATCAGAGCTGGTCTGTGAAATTCAAATTCTGTTTTTTGAAGCCTTCTCTGTTCTCTAGAATGAAGCAGCTGAGTTTTAAGTCTCTCAAGTGTGCATAGAGCTAAGCTGGAGCTGGGGAGTGGTAGCAAGAGTGCTCTGCAGGACCTGGGAGTCCCTGTTTACAGCATTGCTCGGGTTGACAATGAAAGGAGCTGGTGCCTGCACTGAGTGGCTACTTACTCAAAAAAAAAGAGAGAGGCTTCTTTGTGGAAAGCAACAGAAAGGAAGTAATTTTGATTATGTGTTATTCTCAGTTTAACCAACTGTAAAACTGCAAAAGGTTGTGTGCCTGTGAAGCTGCCACATTTTAGTGTAATTCAGCTGGAATGGCAGAATCTTTCATAAACTGAAACCTGCCCTTCCTTGCAATGGTCAGGATAGCACTTAGTTTGCAGTTTTGTTTTGAGTTGTGTCTGGAAACAGAAAAGTGTCAAAGCTGTTATGCTTGATATCCACTGGGAAAGCTGATGGGCCCCAGAACTGGAGAAGTCTGGGGAAAAGGCCTGCCCAAAAGCAGATTTTATATGAAATGGTAGATTTTAGGTTTCACGCGTGCCATTTTGAAATGCTTTGAGAGATCTTCTCATTACCAAGGTGAAGATTTGTAAACTTAAACTTCATGAAATCATGAACTTCCAATCTCTGAGATTTGTAACCTGAGCATTTTTTAGTTGCTCAGTTAAATGAGTTGCTTCCAAAGTTGATGTTAGCTATGTCTGACTTCTTTAAACCTAAATGAACATAGCCACATTACTTCAATTTTAGGAGTTTTATCATATTTATCTGAGATCCGAAGTTCTAAAGGTATCACATCAAAGTTTTAAGTTTTTTAGTCTTAAAAACTTCACTTATTCAACTTCATTTCACCTGCTCCAGACACCTTTGGCCAACTTCCAAATGAGGTTCTGCTCTGAGGTTGTACCTCAAAGACCAGATGGTATTGTTTCCGCACAAATCTCTTCAAGTCAAAAAGCTTCAGGCAAATAACAATCCGTAGCTATAATTTATGACCAGAAGGACAGATAGCTATTTTAAGATCACCCTTAAGAAAATGGACAACCTTTAAAACACGTGACTGTGTGTTATAGTTAGAAGTAATTTGGTAATTTAGACATTTTTTGCTCCAGTTTCAAACCATTAAGGAGTGAGATGCAATGTGAGAACTCTGAAAGAAAAGACTAGTCTCAGAGAGAAACAGGCAGTGAGTGTTGTGTCCAGAAAAAAGGTGGGCTGGGCACACCACGCTGCCTCACGTGGTCACTAACACTCGCTGGGATGAAGGAGAGCAAGGAAGGGTTTTGTGACACTTTTTTTAAAAAGCTAAATGCATTTACAGATATTTTTAATTAAAATGAAAATGGGATTTGAAGCAAGGAACTATATTCAGGGTCCTCATGTAAAAGACAAAAATCTGAAAGCATGTTCTATATTTAAAGGGCAGACTGATGAGAAACTGGGAAGTTCAAAGATACCACTATAGCACTGTGAAAAGCTTCACACATTTGAGCATGTATAAAGTAAATTCAAGCCTGCTTATGCTAAATTACAAAGGTGGACTATGACAGGGAATGATTTTGCCTGCTTGACAGCAATTTGGTTTTATTTTTTTTTAGGTGCAGCACAGTGGTATCTTCAAAAGCAGCGAGAAATGGACTGTATTCCCCTTGACTCGAGGAAACATGTTTGTAATTTCATTCAGTAGATGCAGACTAAGGCCTATGTTGCACAATTGCCTATATTTTCCTTTCTGACATGCTCCTGATTAATGTTTATTTTGGAGCATAGAGCCTGTACTTCAGATACTTGAGTTTGGAGTGGTTTTATTTTGGAGGGGAAAGAATGGCAAGGAGTGTTTTCCGGGAGCTACACTACAAAATTTCTTTGAAATGCTTATGATAATTTACCTCAAACTAGACCAGGAAGCAGTTCTCTTCAGTTGCACCTCTCCTGGTAGCAGCATCAGCAGATCAAAAGAAGAGGATGAGATGGGATGGAGAGGAATAAACTTTGCTCTCTTCTCTGATACCTGATAGAGCCTCAGACAAGGTCTCATTTTGTTAGCTAGTCCTGTGTTGTATCAATACTGTAACATGGCTATGGTGAGATGAAGGCAGTGCCACTAAACTGGTCTAAATGAAGCAAAATTTTGTAATTTCTTCAATGCCAGTGAATGGAAATTGTGTGGTTAAATTATCTCCCATTGTAGTGTAAGACCCCAGCAAGGGGCTGCAGATAGGTTCTTCTTGGCTTGGTATGTACATGAGGGATGGGTAAGAGCACCCTTTGAACCTGCCAGCAGGCTAAATGAATGCAGCTGATCTCCTGTGCTGTTCTGCTGCTATGACTAATATGACTAGTCACTGTAGTGCTCTGTCAACCATGCAGAAATTTAACTGGTAATTTCCATGAAGAAACTGCAAAGAGTTTGCTAACAGAAGCAAACTTTTCATGAGATTTCCAGAAGCTTTAAATAGCCACTGATACTTTCTTGGTGGAAAATAAGCAGCTTTCAAAACTTATTTTCTGCCATATTACTTTACAGGTACATTGGCATAGGCTTGTATTTTAACATTCTTGAGATGTGGTGCTATAAAAAGTGGTCATTAAGATCTAAATGATAGTTTAATGTAAAAAATTCAGTGCCCAAAGGTGTAGATAGGAATTTTTACATACACTCCGCTCTTTACATGTTTCTCCTCTGATGCCTGTTCTCCCACCTGTCAGAGTATGCAACCCACTGATATTTCTGTTCTTAGGCAGGAGCTCAAACAGTGAAAGACAAATGAGAAACAATTCCTCCACAAATCCACATTTTAATAGTCACATCTGCAAGAGACACATTTTTCTTGGTGGCCGCCCAGTTTGCTAGACAGTAAACTCTCAAGATCTCTCTGACTCCTGCAGGTTTCTTTCTAGTTGGTATAAATGTGTCTGTCAAGGGGTGCTCCTGATGGCTTAAATGTCTCAGTCCATGTTACAATGCAAGGATACATAAATTCAGGGACATAAGATCACTGCATAGTTTTAGTTCCCAATAGCTCCATCCCGTTTGTTCCGTTTTGTTTAGTTTGAACAGCTCATACTGTGTGGATTCAGCAGGGAGATTAGTCGTGATCCATGCTGGTCTGTAAGGGATTAATTCACAGCCTCATATGCATTCATGATCTTAATTTACTACAACTTGCAAGGCACTAAACTAAAACCAATAGAATATGAAGGGAAAGAAGGAAAAATTAATGTAAAAACTGTAAATACAGTTTTCATTTACCCTCCTATATCTGACATTCTTTATTCAAGAATGATGGCAAAGCCTGCACATGCCTCTTGGCTCATGCCAGTACTTCTCTTTCTCTAGTGGTTGTATGCACATACTAATTTCTCTGTCCTCTCTAGATTTCCAGTACATTAATTACATGTTATTGCTGCTACTACCACTGCTATTACTAAGCTATGCAAAGGGGAGACCTTCAGTCATTTGTTGGATTCCTGTAGTTAGCAGGTATAACAAGTTGCTTAACACCTTCAGAAGTTAGGGGTAGAGGTCAGGGGAATCATGTAGACCAAAGGAAAAATAAAATAAAATTCAGAAGGTTGGTGGAAGAGAAAGGGGAAAATAAAATAATTTGGTCTCAGGGAAGAAGTCCTAAAAATGTTCTATATTCAATTCTGCAGTGGGATTAGCAAATACCCCCACAAGGGGCAGAACTAAAATTCTCTGTTCTCTCAGACAGATGTCCAGACTCAGTGAGCTGAAGTGCCCCAGAGCCATGCTCTGTGAAGTTCTGCACTATGGCATGGGATGATGTCTCGTCACAGCTTCAGAGCCTGAAAGCTAAGTGTCACAGTGTGAGCCCTTGGCTAGATTGCTGATCAGAATAGCAGGGAATATAAATTAAAACTTGTGACTCCATGTTGGCAATGCTGTATCTCAGGTCAGTAAAGATATGTCCTCACTGCAAAAGTTCATTATAGCAAGAGGAATCCATGGGTACCACCCATCCATGTAATAATGCTAGCAATAATACTAACGAGACCACTACCATTATCACCACTGCTAATCTACTTGAAATCAAGAAAGGTCAGAGAAATCAGGGTATAAATAGGCCTGTGTGGGCGCTGACAGGGAATGGGGGTCAGGGACTGCTTGTGCTGTGCTCAGCCTCTGCCTCCACTGCACACATCAGATATGCATCAGTAAATGTTATAAGGAATGTTGCTGCAACAGTACATGAGACATACAAAGACAGCAGGTGTATTTCTATCAACTGTGGGATACTTGATTGCTTAAACAATAACCCAGGTCAGTATTTCTGAAACATGGGAAACAAAATGGCTCTCACTTTCCATACTCCTATCTGGCATTTGGTGGGGCAAAATCATGACTAAGTTTTCACTTTTGGACTGTGCAACTCACTGCTTAACGCATGAAGATGAATTTTCAGAAGAATTACCACAAAAAAAGAACAAAAGGACAGATCATTACTGTTCCTTTTTTCTTTCGCTGCTGAGTCATGCATATAGATTTCCAAATAATCATGTGTAAGGTATGTACTGGAAGTTGAGATCAGTATGTGTGCTGACCAGGGGAGAAAGGTGCTGTGCCAAAAGAGTGAAGAGCATGAAAACTGAGAAAGAGGACAGAATACCGTCCTACTCATTTTAGAAGCCCTGTTTGGGAGCATAGGTGTGGCACTGAACACAGCAAAATGTGTGGGAAGAGGAGAGAGAGTGTATCCTCAGCAAGTTCGCTGATGATACCAAAGTAGGAGGGGTGGCTGACACTCCAGAGGGCTGTGCTGCCATCCAGCCTGACCTGGACAGGCTTGGAGAACTGGGCAGAGAGAAGAACCTCATGAAGTTCAACAAAGGCAAGTGTAGGGTACTGCACCTGGGGAGGAAGAAACCCAAGCACCACCATAGGTTAGGGGTGGACCTGCGGGAAAGCAGTTCCAAGGAGAAGGATCTGGGAGTCCTGGTAGACAGTAAATTATCCAGTAATGTGCCTGGGTTGCCAAGAAGCCAAATGGAATCCTGGAGTACATAAGGAAGAGTGTGACCAGTAGGCTGAGAGGGGTCATTCTACCCCACTACTCTGCCCTGGTGAGGCCAAATCTGGAATATTGCATCCAGTTCTGGGCTCCCCGAACTACTAGAGAGAGTTCAGTGGAGGGCAACAAAGATGACTGGGGGATTGTAGCATCTCCCTTATGAGGAAAGGCTGAGAGAGCTGGGACTCTTTAGCCTGGAGAAGAGAAATCTGAGGGGAGACCTTATTAATGTATACAAGTATCTAAAGGGTGGGTGCAACGAGGAGGGAGCCAGATTCCTTTCTGTACTTCCCAGTGACATAACAAGGGGCAACAGGCACAAGCTGGAACATAGGAAATTCCATTTAAATATGAGGAAAAACTTATTTATGGTGAGGATGACAGAGAACTGGAAGAGGCTGTCCAGGAAGGTTGTGGAGTCCCCTTCTCTGGAGTTATTCAAGACCCCCCTGGATGCAGTCCTGAGTAATGTGCTCTAGGGCATCCTGCTTTAGCAGGGGAGTTGGACTAGATGATTTCTGGAGGTCCCTTCCAACTCTGACAACTCCGTGATTCTGTGGATGATCCTCAAAAGAAAGAAAAACAACATGATCTTAAATTGTTTGATACTGAACTCCAGAAGAGACAGGGGCAAACCACCCACAGGGCTTCAGTGGGATGCTTAGGGCTGTTCTTCTCCAAGCAAGAAGCTTTTCTTGTGGTGAGGTGACTTGTTGCTGTTGCAGCCTAACGGAGGAGTGTGAGGAAGGAGAGAGGATGTCTGCATCCTCCTAGAGTGGCCTGGGTATAATTTTCTTATATAATACCAAATACACGTGAGAGATTAAAAGCTGTACACAGACATCTAAAAAGGGTATAAAATGGATTTGCCTCATCTTTGAAAAGATACTGCAGCTCCAGAGAAGGCTCAGAGCAAAGCAACAAGGGCGTCAAAGATATGGAACAGATTTAGCACCTTTGGTTAGGCCAGGTACAGCCATGCTCATGGTCCTTTAGTGGATTTCCCACCCTATAAAAGTCTTTGACACTACAAGATTGGGGAGATTTCACTTTGGAATGAAACTGGAGCCTATCTTTTTTTTTTCTTTTCCTCCTTCCCAGAAAATAGGAGCTCACTCATTCCAGACTAGCCACCTGCCTAGAACTGAGGAAACTCAAATGTGGTATGAAAGACTCTAGCTTATGACTTGAAGAATGTGTTTGGCTCTTAAGAGTCAGCACAGACACCCCTGCCCTAAGCTATCACGGAGCCCAAAACCAAAAAGGACCCATATGGTTGTGTTGTGAGATCTCTATACAAGTCCAGTCAGAGGAATTTTCTGACTTAAATTCTGCTTCAAACAGAAAAATCATTACAGGAGAAACATGTGCTTTCAACTGAACATGTACCAGTAACAAGGAAAACACTATAGCACATTAACTGTCCCAGGGATTAATTATCTTCATCAAGAAAATCTGATGACCAGTCTCCAAAAGTCTTCCTAACGCAATCTCCTTTGAATTAAACCTTTCCTGGAAATGGACATTTTGTAGTAGGCATGTGCAATGAAGGAGCTTCCAGTCATCTCTGGTCCAATTACCCCCTTGTTCCTATAGTAGTTGCTCCTGCCTATGCAGCTGGACCTCTGCCTTACATTAAGGGTCCTCTCTCTGCATTATACTATGAACTCACAATGTATCCAGCTTCTGGAAGGAGTGCGGCAAAGTGGCGCAAATGCCTCTTCAGTCCACTCCTCTCTTTTGCACCCATGACTTCTCTATACAGGGGTAAGATTTTACCCAGGCAAATTTCAGTTGGAGGATGCCTTTTAGCCAAGCAAATGTGACCCAGAAGGATGTCCCATTTTGCCCTTTAAAAGACTGATCTAGCTTTTCAGGATTTGCCTTTTAGCAGTGCTACCTCATTGACAAACCTTTTGGCAGCCACACACTTGTAATACTTGTGGGGGAACATTCTCCTGTGCTCTGTTCTAAAAATGTGACCATGTCAAGGGAGTTACCAAGGCTGTCCCAGTGCCAACAGAAATGAAAGCTATGTTCAGTTTCCAAATATCTGCACTGTCCTGCCTGCCACCTGGAGCAAGTGAAGAACACCACAGAGCTGAAAACATCCATCACTTTTCAGCCTTCCATTTTTAAAATGTTGCATCTGGGAAAGAAACAAATGCTGAAAATCTGGCAGAACTTGCTGCTCCGTAAAGTGGACATTTCACAAACACTTAGTTCGTTGCTTTCTTGTGCATGCACAGAAGAAGCCAAAAGAAACCCTGCTAAATTACACTTCTTTCTGCATGCTCACTATGACACCATCTGGGGATGGTCTCATAACCTAGATGGATGTGTCCTGCTCAGTGTCTCTGTGGTAAACCACACCTGGAATCTGTAAGCATAGCAGGAATGCTGTCAGCCATTCTTCATTAGCATCTGCAATAAAACTGTACTAGATCCCCAGCCTAGGATGAGAAGTCCAAATAATTCCAGATACACTTTCTAACATGTGACTACAGAAGAGGTCCTGTAACGCTTAAGTGTTGTCCCATGCATGGTCAAGACAAAATTCCACATCAATTTCTTATATTTTCTTGATACGGTATTTCAGTTCCAGTTAGTTTCTGTTGTACTTTATATGTATTATGTGCTGGGTTGTAAGGTAAAAAAATTCTCATGTTTAATAATAAAAATGGCTATACTTTAATAATAAGATACTTTGCTTGCATATGCATTTTTCCCTTGAGGGTTAACTGCCAAAGACTTAAGACAAAACCTATATGTGTTGTTTACACAGGAGAAAAGGACTTTGGGTAAGGAAAGCCTGAGTAAAGAGATCAAGCCTGGGACTTTGTAAAGGTCCTAAAGAGACATCCATGTGTTCAGTGGGATTTTTCAAAAGCAGTGACCTTTCTCACTTTCACCTATTCACTTGTGTAGGCAACTAAATAGTTCATAATGTCTTAAAAGATTAGAGGCAGAACTGGGAAAAAATTTTATTTCTAGGCTATTTTTTACTATGCATGACTGTAATAAAATTAACTTAAGGACACCATGGGTTATTTTCTATCCTTCCACTAGGAAAGCTGATTTTCAGATACTCTGCAAACGTCTACTGTGAATGGCCAGGTAGATTCATGTTTTGGCAGCTATGGGTAATACCAAGATTGCCCTCTTTCACTGTTAAAATATTATTTATGTTACTGTTTAACTCACTCACTTCCTGTTTTTACTCACCTGTTTTATTCTATTTACACCATACTTTCCCATTGCCTCCATCAGATTGTCATCAGATTACAGACTGTATTTATACCATGAATAGTTTACCACCTGTAGCCAAGAAAGAGCAAGACTCCTCCACCAAAACTTTTTCTTTTTTTTATTTTCATGGCTTACCTTATGCATTCCACTGATTCTGGTCTTGACTTTAGATCCTGGTCTTTAGCAGCCACTCCAAAATGAATGGGGAACAATCCTCCAAGAATAATGTCTCCCTTCTTCTGTGCCCGTTGGTTTGGCCCATAGGCAGCTGTGTTCCAGGTAAACAGCAAAAGAATCAAGCAGCAGTTATATAAAGTCATTGTTCCTCTTTTCACCAGGGGATTATAGGATGCAAAATTGGAAAAGGTGATGTAACGAAGCAGATGTGATAATGTCTAAGCTTCTCCTTTCCTTAATACAGCACAGAGACATGTCTGCAGGGAGATAAGCAACAAGGAGGGAGCCACAGTGCAGGTGTTTCTCCCTCTGTCTTCTCCATTGCAAAACAACAATTCATCAGTCTTTTGCTCTTCATAACTAAGGCCTTATGGCGAGCCCATCTCTGAGAACTGCAAAAGAAAGACATGAAAGGTGATCCCTGATACACACCAAGACCCCACACTGCCATGGCAGTTCTTCATTGTCCCATTAATTTCTCAGTATGCCCCCAGGGGCTCCCCCACTCAACAACATGCAAAGGACATGTTCCAACTTCAATAGCATCAGTCAGACACCCTGGTGATGCCAGCCACACCTCCTCAAACAAGTGTCATGGATTCTCTTGAATGCCTAATTCTCTACCACATATGTGAGCTGAGTGTCTTCCAACTGTCTTCCTGCCATCTTCCTACCATTCTGCATGATTCTGGTTACAGGAGACCCACTTAAATTTGTGATCAGATCTCCGTGAACAGAGCACACTGTGAGAGATTTGGATGGGTAAGTGCAGAATAAGGAAGCAACAAATGCAGCAAAAATCAAACCTTCATCTAAATAAAAGAACTATTATAATCTTTTGCTGTCAGTCCATCCTTTCCTTTCAGCTGATCATTCTTAACTCTCTAGTTTGAATTTATGCTTGCTAGAAATTAAACAAGGTCGCAAGAAGGACTTGTTTTCACATTTAGAGTGAGGACGACTTTCAGGGAAGCATTTTAAATCAAGATACTTCTCCATAATGAATCATGAAGGCTTGAAAGGTTCAGTGACCATGTCATTGCAAGCTTAGCCGTCAAGCTTTGAAGCCTGTGTCCTGGGGATGAGGAATATTGCGGCTTCTCTGTGCTCAATACATTGTCCCTGCAGCATGTCTACAGGCCTGCCAACCCAAGAACAAAATTATGGCATATGAAAATAGCTGTGGTTATGGGGTAAGAGGTAGCACAAAACAAAACAAAAAAAACCAAAACAAACAAAAAAAGGCTCTTCAGTCTATTTGGAATATGTCTAAAAGCTAGCAGTAAAAATCTGAAGTTAGTAAAATCCAGAAAAAAAGCTAGGCATATCCTGAGGCTAGGCTAATCCTGAGGACAGTTAATTTTTGAAGTAAGTCATCAAGGGTTTTCACGTGCTAAGAACCTTTTCATAAGGATGACTTAATATGCACTAAATGCACCAAGACGGATGTGACATCTACCTAAGTCAAAAGAGGAGCTACTGCAGGGAAACACTGTGATCATGGGAGTTCTCCTAGTAGTCAGCCTTAATGATTATGCTTGCTGTACGACCACCAAGCATTTGGAAATATTTCACACATTTTTGTTAAAATGAAGGTTCAGATGCAGCAGTCAGTGGGAGAAGAGAGTCAAAGCTTCCATCATTCTCATGCCTCTACTGCCAACACACTTAGACAGCTGGGCATACGCTGCACTTCTCTGTGGTGGATCCACTCTGAACTATTTTTGCTCCTCGCTTGAAGAAACATTATTTTGTTAGGAAGGGCAATCAGATCTTCAGCTAGAGATCAAAATATGTCTAGGCAAACAATTTTGTACCAGGAAATGTAGAGTCACACTGAAAGATTTTGTAGGAGCATGCCTGTTTTCATATGAAAAACCAGGTATTTCATGTTTCAGTGTCCAAGTGACTCAATCCAAAGTCAGAAACCTGGACATGAAGAATCCAGCTGCTGCTGACAATGGCAGTCAGAAAACACTTGGGGACACTCTTAAGGCAAACAGCTGGAGTTATGTCACACTGATATAACCAGGATATAATTTTGTCTATTGCTTGTGAGCACATCTTAACATCTGACTGGTACATTTCACTGACAAGCCCTCTGACAGCAAGATGACAGAACTTTAACCAGGGCCAGGACAAGCAGGTGACAGAGCAGTGCAACAAGAAAAAACCATCCCTGAGCTTTTGGGTTCACATTGGGTGGTGGCTGTTGCTTCTTCAGTGCCCAGCAGGGAAAAGGAAGGAAACACTTTGCTTTGTTTCAGGTAGGGAAAGGTCATCTTCCTTCCACCGTTAAACAGATTCATAAAAGCTACAAAAAAGCATATCAGACATGTTCTCTGTCTCTTCCTGGCTGAGGCTAAGTCTGCCATGTCCTGTGGGATGAACTACTGAAAGGCAAATAATCATTGTAGTCAGCTCCAGGCTCTTTGGCATTGTTTAATTTAAGAAAGGATATTAAGAAAAGGAAAGAGAAGAAAAGATCTGAAATTATAAACAGTATATGGCATCTTATGCGACAGGCAAGAGGTCACGGCTGACACTTGTGGCCAAAGGGAAAGAAGAGTAACCTGGAGCTTTGGCCAGTGTCCACTTTCTGAGGGGAAGGCCCCTGTCCACATCTGCCAGAGAGCAAGGGCATCTAGGGATGCTGGGATCACTGGCACAGCTGTCGTGCCAGGGTGGGAGCATTCTTGTTCAGATACTGCCAGATTTGAGGATAGTAAGAACAAAATGCTGCTAATCACATCTGGTAAGACATGTTGTGCCCAAAACAAGAGCAGGGTGGGTGTCACTCCTGGGTTGAGGAGTGACCCCAATCACCAACGTTGCCTTCCAGGAGAACAGGAAAGTGTCCTAGGAAAGGGAAACAAGAGGAAGAGGGGTGTGAATTTTCATTTCTTGGGTACTAAAACAAAAAATAAATAAAAAAATAAAGGTAAAAAAGCTGATACAGTGAGGTGAGGTCCACATAGGTGGAGCCTTGCAGATGCACTTCTGAGAGGCAAGAGGTTTGAGGCAGGGAACAGTAATTTCTGAAGAGTAGCTGCAAAGAGATGGGATGGTCTGACTACTGCTATTTAACCTAGGGCATCCTCACCCCTGCCTCCCTCTCCGATGGCCGAGAGACCTGGGGGGCTGCTCCTTCAGGGGCAGAGGTGGAGGTGGGCAGCATTGGGGTCCCCTGAGCATGGGCAGGCAGCTGTGCATAGGACTTAGCCAAGGTGGGATGGGATCAGTGATTTCCCACCTCTTGTGGGAACAGGGTGAACTCAAGACCACAGCCTGATTTATTGCTCTGTTTCTCTTTTCCTTTAATAAGACTTTCTATTACCTTCAAGGTTCTTTTCTTATGAAAAAAAGAAACCATTTTCATCATGAACAGATAGACAATGTAATTTAGTTTGCTGAGATGCTATGGAGGGGTTTGAGCTGATGCTACTGAATATTTAGGAACCATTCTTTGACACCAGACAGTACGTGGCTGGAGTATTAAATGTAGAAAAAGTAAATTCACATTCTTATTTCTCTGTTCTCCTGGTGGGCAAAGTTCAAAGATCTAAACTGGTAAAATGGGGTTAATTTTAAAATTACATTTTCAGCACTCAGTACTCCAAGATGTCATTCAAGAGCATGGCAAGGGATTAGACAATGAAAACAAAGTTGTTCATTCATGGTATAGGGCAATACATGTTATCCCCCTGAATAATTTGGAACTAGCTATTCACAAGAACAGGACACAGAACTGAACTAACACCAGAAGTGCTGTCTGTGAACAAGATAGGCTGTGCATTTATAAAACACACTCCTGAAGAAACAGGCTGAGGGATAGAAGTCCAAAGATGCACTGGCACAAAGTGATATATTAAAAAAAAAAAAAAAGCAAAACTAAATGCCCAGCTCCTCGTAAATCTCAGTGCCAAAATTTGCAACTCTCCATACTTAACTACAAACCACATCTGGGAAACCAAGTATCTCAAACTCATTTAATAGGTGACACAGGGCTCCCAGCTTCTTTCAAGTGCTCTCCATGCCTGAGGTTGAAAATACTTGAAGATACTGATTTCCTGATGAACAGTTACTAGCTTGTTACCAGTACCCCAAGCTACCATCCTCTAGTATCATATTTTGTTGTGGCAAATCTTCCTTCAGTTCTCTTTAATTAGATTAAAATTATGAGCCTCTTCCTTATTACAGGAAAGCATTACGCAGCCAAAGATTGAATTACCTGTTAAGGCATGCCCAAAGACATAAAACTTATGAAAATATAGGTGGAAATTGTACAACTAATAGAACAAATTACTGTGGTCCTGCAGTTTTCAGCTAATAAATTAGGAAGATTAAATTAAAAAGCAACTGAATTAAGAAGAAAGCTTGGAATCCATCGCTATTTTTTTGCAAGTATTTTTACATTTCAAACATTATTCTTTGATTATAAGCTCTTCAATGCAGAACACCTATTCCCTGCACATACATTCAGCAAATGCAAATCCGTAAGATTTATTTTGCAAAAAAAAATTTTAAAGTAAGCATTGTAATTTCCTTTCTTTCTTTCTTTCTTTCTTTCTTTCTTTCTTTCTTTCTTTCTTTCTTTCTTTCTTTCTTTCTTTCTTTCTTTCTTTCTTTCTTTCTTTCTTTCTTTCTTTTTTTTTTTATTTTTTTTTAATGCAGCCTATTTTTTATCTCTCTCCTCCTCTTCTGAAATGTTTTTAAATGGGTTTTTTCCACTCTATTTGGTAACTACCAGACATTTTGATTTTGAACTGTTTTGGAAGTGGAAGTAAAGTAGCAGTGATCTCACCTAAACTTCAGTGGAGGAATTTAAGGTGGTTCCAGGAACAGGGGGAGACATCAGGACACCATTGTCATGGCAGAAACAGTACCTAAGCAGGGACACAAGGTACCCAGGGTACATTAATGGGGATTTGAAAGGCTTTGCTAGTTCAACAGAAGTTTTATTTGTCAGACTAAATCATGCAGAAATGCCACAAATATTCAATAAATCTTTGTTCTTTGGGTGAAAAGAAGCTGAATGGTACACTCATGGCATGTATTACTTACAAAGCACTTCTTAAATGGTAACTAATCACAACATTAGACAGCAGCTGCTCAAGTTCATATAATAGCTGGGTTGAAAAGAATCTCAAGGGGTCATGCAGCCTGTCCCTTAGCCCAGGAAGGGCTCAGCAATAGTAATGCTGTTCCCAGCGTATTTTCTCTAAAACATGTTGAGGAAGACCTGTCAGACACCCATGGCAGCCTACTCCAATGCTCCTCTGCCCTTAACGAGGCAAATGTTTTCTCATCTCTTGGATATTTTTTGTTGCAACTTCAGCGTGTCTTCTTCTCCCATCTCTCACATGCAGTCCAGCACCTACTTC